CTAATGGATGAAAATGGATACTTGCTGGTTGTATTTTATTGAATGTAATAAAAAAAAACATGATTTAATCTTTAATCGTTTTCAGATCGACGCAGACTTTGATGTTATCTACGGAAAACTGAATAATCCTACCAATATTTTTGACGCTTGGGAAGGATTCATTCAACGGTTCCTAGCCTATGTAAATCTAAACGGATTAAAGGACGATTATTCCCGACAACTGCTGTCTCATCTTCAAGAAACATCTGTTGCTCAAGGTAGTACAATCAAGAATACAATGAATAAACTTATTTTTAAAGCATACTTTCTTTCTCACTATCGTTTACATTTCAGATACCCGAGATTTCATTTGCTGTACCATTTTCCATGGTGTCATTAAGCCAGTTCGTACATCGTCACGAAAGCTGCCAACGATTCTTCAAGCGCAAACCGATATGTGTTTTGCATGCAAAACAGAAGAAGAATTTTTGGAATCAGTAGACAATTTGCGTGAGGAACTCAAAGCGAATGATTTTCAATTCTCACCTCGCATCTTCTTGGTTGGAGAGATCGACAAGCTGATAGGGTTCTATGTAGTAACCGCGAAGCTCCAGTTTAAGCTACCATCATTCTTGCGCTGCGTGGATCTAGTAGTGAAGCTAAAGTTCGCTTTGAATTACAACTTCCCTGAAAGCTGCGAGTTGCTTTGGTGCTTCATTGCAAAATACTTCTACAAGATCAACTATACGCGGAAAGTAACGAACAGCCAACTTCTACAACTTTTCGCATTTTTGGAGAACCGCGAAACAACAGCATGAACTGTTTTTTGTGTAAAATTCCATTCGGGACTATTCCAACTTTCTTCGATCATTTGATGATTTACCATGGCACACCTACCGTCTTCAAATACACGTGTACAGCATGTGTACCCTCTACATCGTTTCAAAACGTGCATCGTTTCAAAAGACACATCAATACCTACCATTCCGGATTATTTCATTCGAATAATGCTACCGATAATGAAACAACTTACGCCAATATCGAAATCCCAATCATCACAGAAAGCGACATCGACAGAGAAGAATATGTGGACACTACAAGCATGAACGACATGGATACGTCCGGAATTGTGAATGAAGAAAAAGAGAAAACTACGATCAGTGAAAGTGATATTCTAGATATAAGAAATAAGTTAAGGGAAACGTTTTTAAACTTTACGTTAGATTTACACAGCAAATCAAACTATACGAGAAAAGATGTCATCAACTTACAACAATGTATTACCGATCAAATAGTTAAACCAATATGCGACACATTACTTACAGTAGCACCAATTGTTGATAGTAATGAAAACATCAAAGAGTTGATCAATGATATATATCAACCATTTCAATTCATAGGCACTGAACAAAAATTCAACAAGACACTGCATAGCATAAATCTAAAAGATACATTACAAGTGATCAACTATGAAGATGAGGATGGAAGTATAATTTCTAAAGGATGTCTTATGCCGATCAAGCATCAGTTCAAACAATTTTTTGAAAGTGGAGACGTGTTCAACGAAACAATTATGCATATGAGTTCTTTGGAGAAGAGTAATGTTATAACAAACGTCGTCAATGGTACGTTGTGGAAAAATGTAAAAGAAGAGTTTGCGAGTAGATTTGTAATTCCCTATTTTTTATACTCTGACGAAGTTGAGATGAACGATGCTATTGGAGCCCACTCTGGTACTCACAAGGTGACAGGATTATACTATAATTTTCCTACAATCCCTACACATTTTTTATCACGATTGGAGAACTTGTTTGTTGCTGGTTTCATAAAAGCGTCTGACTTAGCAAAACTAGGCCCATCCCAGGCTTTGAAAGATTTAATTGACGTGTTCATTGATGTAGAGCAAAACGGTATTGAATTGGATATTAACGGAAGTAAGATTTATGTCTATTTTGTTCTAATGGGTATCTTAGGAGATAATTTGGGAATAAACACGTTAATGGGATATGCTACATCCTTCAGTGCGTTGCTTTATTGCAGATTTTGCACTATGAATAAATATGAATCGCAAACGAATGTAAGGCTTGACTTTCATCAAACCCGAAACAAAAGCAATTATGCTATTGACGTTCAAAAACCATTTAAAGAATCAGGTATAAAAGAAGAGTCTACATTCAATAAATTAAAGCATTATCATGTGGCTGAATTTGTTTGTGTTGATTTAATGCATGATTTTTATTCTCATGGAATTTGTAACTATGACATGTCTCTTGTTTTATCTTACATGATCAAACATTTGAAAATTTCCTTGAAAACCATTAACTACCGAATTCAAATGTTTGATTGTAAAGAAACAGAAAAAAGGAATACGTTTAAAACAATTACTAAGGAACAAATCAAATCAACTAATTTTAAAATGACAGCAAGAGAAATGATGTTCTTTGTGCATTACTTTCCTTTAATTTTTGGTGAATTAATACCAGAAAATGATAAAGTATGGAATTTTGTTTTATCGTTGGTTGAGTTAGTGAACATGATTTTGCTTCCTAGATTTAACGATGAACTTCTCTGTACTTTAGAAGAACAAATAATTTGTCACCACACGCTGTACAAAGAAATATTTGATGAACATCTTAAACCAAAGTACCACATACTGCTTCACTATCCTCAGACAATTAAAAAAATAGGCCCTCCGCGATACACATGGAGTTTCCGTTTTGAAGCATTCCATCAAGTGTTTAAGAAATATTGCAGAAACATAACATCTAGGCGTAACATATGCTTTACACTCTGCACGAAAGCTAACTTAATTTTTATGCATAATATACGAAATTTGAATCATTTCAAGGACCCTTTAGTTTACGAAAATACTGTCAGCTTGAGGCTTATAGATTTACCTTATTTTTCATCGTTAAATTTAACAAGTAAGCTACTAACTTCAGGCTTTAAAGCTTCATGCACTGTAACCTACAGAGGCACAGAGTATAGAGTTGGTCAATTTTTAACAAAATCAACCATAAATATGAATTCCATAGAACTACATCAAATCAAAGATTTACTAATCTCAAACAATGCTTTAAATGTTGCAAGTCAACAATGGCAGATCCAAGAATATTCAACCCACTTTGCATCTTTTAAAGTGAACAGCTGACGTGCAGCTGCATATACTCCATGTAGACCTATTTGATGGACCTCCAATTCATATTTACAATGTTCAGGGAAACAGTTACATTAGACTTAAGAAATTCTTTATGTAATCAATTAAATGTCATATTATATAAGCATAGTTGAATAAATAAGTTTCAAATTCAATAAAAAAAAGGATAAATTATAAATCGTAAAACGAAATCAAAAACTTTAATTTTTCTACACCAAGAAAAACAACCCTTGTTTTAAAATATACCATACTCCACAGTTAAGTTTACTTTAAAAACGTGCTGGTTTTAAACGCAACTGATGGTTAAACTATTAACCTGGAATTATTGTCGAGAGCACTATGAAGCATAGTAGTTTTAACTCCAATGCATTGACATGATTGTCATGGTAAAATACACAACTATCAATTTTAAAAAGAATATCATATGTAGTCTGCACAAATTTAGTGGTGTTATGTATTTGAAACAACCCTACAATATAGTATTATCAACTGCGGAACTGCTCTCAGTGTAGAGCTCTTCGTTGTGCATTTTTGTGCGTAAAAGTTCAAAATAAAGTGCAAAGCAAATCTTTGCAACAATGAATCGAGGAATGGTTTGCTTTATCTTTCCTTCTTCCGCTGTCCACGAAATAAATCGGAATGTGGAGTTTGGAAAGCAATTTGTGCTCATAATATTACAATACTTCTCCCTCAAATAACACCATGATGACGTCATGTTCGTTTGGCTACACTAACTGACAGTTCGTTTGGCTACATTATACCATAGAGGTAATTCTAAGACTAGAAGGTCCCGAAGAAACGTGCTCAACTTTTTGACTCAGCTCTGGTACTATCTTCGATCCCAAGCTAATCGATTCACCCCTCGAAACATAAGAAAAATCCACGAAGCCCTCATTTTATCTGTCAAACTTTCATAGCGAATCAAAACAAACATTGTGTAGTACTAGAATTTTGACTAGTATGGGATACGTTAATCGTTTGCTTGGGACCAATAGGCTAGTCAAGTAGTGAGCCAATTTAAAATTGTTAGTTTCGTATTGATTGTTGATTATACTTTGCCTCCGCTTATCTATGGAATCTATATAGGATCTATAACTACATATAAGCGGTTCACTGAAAATTAGCTTATTGAACGGAACATGGGAGATGAGTGAAAAGAACTTAATTTTGGGTATTTTTTCAGTTCCGTGTAGAGTTGCGGAAGCGTGATACACGGCGTTACACCCCTGATGTTTTGTCAAAACATAGTTTTACGATTTCTCGCGTAATAATTGAAAAACGCCTATCTGCTTTTGTCAACAAAAGTTACAGAACCCTTTTCGCGCAAACGGATGCCCACCCACGTAAACCATAAAAACCATCGGGAAGGGAATAATTTCCACTACATATTGGTGTTTGGCTGGGAGGCCTCGGTTCGCGGGAAAAATACTCTATATGTTTTGTTTGCAAAAGCAGGATATGCTCTTTTCAATTTTTAATCGTTGTGTAGAGTTTAATCTTCCATGAAAAAAAATATAAGCTAGCAACACCGAGAGTAACACGCTATTTGGAAGTCCCCATTAATGAGTAAAATTTCTCCCACTTGAAAGAAAAGTGGCTAAACTCATTAATGGGTACATTTTATACCCATTTAATGGGTACCTGTTTCCCATTAATGAGTATCTGTTGCCTTTTTAATAATGGGTAGCAGTTACTCATTAAATGGGTAAATTTACTACCCATTAATAAGATTTGTTACTTTTATTAAAATTAGGTGAAGTTTTACTAATAATGGGGACTTTCATGTTACCGTGAAGACCAAGCTTCAAGTCTCCAAGGTCTCCAAGCCTTCAAAAGATCTTTTGATGGAAAAACATCATTCAAATTCATCGTCATTCATTCGTCATCGAACAGTACGCAGTTTCGGTTGTGTGCTTCCTACGTCGTTTATATTTTTTTCCTTGAAAATATTGTAAAAATTCTTACCTAATTGGATTACATTGCTTGCGAAAGAATTAATTTTTTTGTGATTAGTGACATAAGAGCTCCAGAATGAAGAATCTACTGCTAGCCGTGGCTGGCGTTTTGCTGGGTAAGTTTTCATGTCCATCTCCGATAAGTGCGAAACAAAGGCAGGCAAGGCTCCATTTTTCTGTTCCTATTCTCTGCGCTAGCTGTTGATAATGCGTCTTAACTTTCTTATGAGTCATCCAGTCAGCAGAATCTTCGACTGATCTTGTTTTTTTAAGTGTTAGTAAACATGTTCGGGTGCATTGATCTGGTACCGAATTCTTGTGAAAAAAGAAGTATCATACAATAAGTTTGTTGCAGCAGGTCAGGTGAACGTCCGAAGGGCATTCAACAGAAATCGAGGCAAAAAAATGACGGGAAGCAACAGGAAAAAAATCCATAAGAAAAATAGCGAAACAACAGAAAAATGTACCTGTGCAAGAACACTGATTCTAACAGCAGATGTGTTGGTCATTCATGGTGCACGATGAAGAAAAATGTAGCATAGTTCTTATGTCGCGTTCCTCAGCCAATTTGTGTTGTTGCCACGCTGATCGTTTGGTCGGTAGGTACGTGCGAAAACAAGCTTCTCGAACTCACGAAGTAGTCAGTTGATCAACCGAAGCAATAGGCAATAGTTATGAAATTGTAAACCGATTTTTTTTCATTTACGAATGTCGGTGTATAGAAACAGAAAACAGGAATGTTCGGAAGAAATCGAGCCGAACAATGGGTTAGGTCCTAGGTAATAATGACAGATCATCTTCGACGATCTTTGCATCTCCACAGCCATGCATAGACATTTACAGCTATTTTCAACACAGTTCGATGAAAAAAGTTATTATCTAGCATCTAATACGACAAACACGACAAGAAACGGGTTTGTAGCCAAACTATTAACGAAATAGAAAGTCGATGAAGAGAATCGATCAAAGTTACCTTAGGACCTTATGCATTGTTTGGGTTGAAGTGTATACCATTTAAGTGCCAACATTGCATCAGGGCGAAACTTGTTTTTGTAACCAATCTAATCTAATCTAATCTAATCTAACGCCAACATAGCCAGTTCTTGAAAGCATCCTGGAAAATGATGGATATACCTCCATAATTTTTCTTGTCTATTTGATATATATTTCACATCGAAGATGCGACACATAATATATCAAATCGGCCAGGCCTACATCGGGCCTGTTTAAATCGAAGCTTTAAACAAGATGCTTTAGAATTCAATAAATGGATGAAACGTGGACATCTCGTACCGTACGTTCCGATTTTGGTAATTATATGATTAGTTGGTTGTTGGAAGCATCGGAGCTAGAAAGGTGATGCTCCATTTTCTTCTGACGGTTGGGACATGAGCACTAACTCTTGTCCTAGCCTTTTATGGCTTATGACTATAGCGCCATTACTCGCTTTCTGAAAAGAGAAGAGGAGGACAAAGGGTACTGAATTATGTAAACTCTATGAACATAAACAATATTTTTGATTTAAAATATACAATATAGAAATGCATAACGGCGGTGGTCACTACCCGTCATAAGTCATAAAAAGTAACAAGCACTAAAATGTAATCCTTTGATTACTGGAAAATCCTGATTCCCTAGTTTGAAGTTGTCACGACCAGCGTTCGGTTGTAGATCTTATACCAGTAACGCACGACAAAAAGGTGATCTCCCAACGTTACTGGTTTGACACATACACATGAAGTCGACTTTTGATGTGCATTGGCAAGCCTTTTCGTGGCAAATAGTCAGGTTCAACGCTGCGACTCAACGAATGATGGAATTAATGATGGGACACCTCGTGGAGGTTCTACTTGGCTTCGGAACAGCTTCTCAGCGGCAAATAATAGGGACTGAGGAACTCGAAATTGTCTCCTGGGCCTGGTTTTGGCCAGATCAGCAACCGATTATAGATAATAAAAAAACTCCACGAAAAAAAAACAAACGTCAGGTTCGATCACACCCGAAACTTGTTTTTGTAACCAATTACTTCAACCGCCAATTTCTCGCATATAAAACATGATTCCTGCAAATCAATGATGTCAGCTTCCTGACGGTGTCGTTGATTTGCATGTATGAGCTCTTTTTCGCGAGAAACCGACGACTAAAGCCATTGTTTTCAAAAGCAGTTTCATCATTTTGAAATGTTGGCACTGATTTGATAAATTTTAATAAATTACAAAAATATATATTGATTGCAGGTTTCTTTCTCCATTATGTTTTTTTCTACTCCTAATGGACGTGAGAATTTGTTATGCTTTTATTATTTTATTTCAGCTGATGAGTAAACTGATAGCAATATACGCACTAACGATTTAATTTAACTTTCGTTTATTGTTTCAGTGACGGCGACAATCAGCGCTACACCAGTCGAGACCGGTGGACGACGTTTGCTCGGAGCGAAGGAATGCACCTGGGGTCCAACCTACTGGTGTTCGAATTTAAAGTGAGTACGGTGACAACTGATTAACAAATCCATAACATTTCCATAGTGCTTTGGTTTCTGTGTGAGTTATCTCAACTTGATGTGGCGATTATTCAATGAGCTGGATTTTAAACAGCTTAGAATATCATGATGAGTTTACTGAATTCAGAGACTAACATTGATAGGAATGCACCTTATACCATCGACAGACATGATTGTAGCATTGTTGTACTAATTAATTCTAGTGTGTCGTTTGCGGTGCTGAATTTAAGGAGAACAACGGTACTGCAGTCATGTCCGTCAATGGTATTAAATAAATCCACATATCTAACACGCTCATTGTGCTATTGTGCTAAAGGGACTGGTTTCCGAAGTTTCTAAATTATTTTATTTTGTCAATTTCGGCTACATTCTATCTATCAATAGTAACATCGACAGACATACAAACTACACCGTTATATTGCTTCAAGTATGTACCTCAAATTGTACTTTTTGAGGTACTAGATTATATTAGTACAACGCTACTGCTTTGTATGTCTGTCGATGTATAAACCAGGTACATACAAACATTTTTTTTTAATACTCCTATACTATACCGCTATTCGCATAACAGTCCTATGTAGATAGGAAATCCATAGGACATGGGACTGTTATGCGAATAGCGGTAGTATATATGTATAGCATTCATATATCAAACTGAACAATGCATTAGGTCCTAAGTAAAAGTAATTAAAGTAACTTGTTTTTTAAATTAAGTATTTAAAGTCACTTTGTTGCGACCAATGTTGAGAGTAAAAAAGTTGCATTTAAAAACTCACATCAAAGCACAGCTTGATTTGGCAACAAATTTGTGTTAGACATATTAATTAAAAATCAGTGTGTAAAGTATGACAAACAAACACGTTAACTCAGTGCCAACATTTCAAACGGGCGTTATTGCATTAGTTAACAATGGCTTTAGCCGTCGATTTCTCGCGAATAAAAGCTCGCCAATGAATCGATCTTGTTTTCCGTGCTGATCACCAATGCTACCGACGCCAGGGAGGCAGCTCTCACACCTGGACCTTACCTATCGACCCATCAACTCATGAACCGGGACCAACGAGATGTTATGCCTCAGAAAATCCCGGCGGCGCCGACTGGGGTTAAAGCCAGGCCTGCTGGGGTGAGAGGTAATCACGCTTACCCCTACACCACCGGCGCCGCTGTCCTTAAAATTGTCAACATTAGTCTAAATCCGTGTCTTTGTCTCAATTTTTCGTTCTAATCGCCATCTAATATCAACTTAGTTATTTGTTTTCCAAAAATCGAGGTAGACAAAATAGTGCAGTGAGGAAATAGAGGTTATAATTGGTCCGTGCTCTTGCTTATTCAATATAACAAATTAATGGAATCCTGAAACCAAATTGAACCACACAACTGCAAAAAGCTGTTCCAATCGAGCAAAGCGGTGCATTTTGACGGTTCGATTGAAACAACTTTTGACAGACGTCCATACTCTTACTGTAGGGCTTTAGTTTGAAGTGGTTTAGACTAGAGTCCTTATGCATTGTAAATATCGGCGTCATTTCTTGATTTTGTTGCTAAGGAATCCGGTTTTGACTGATAAAGGGGCGCACCTTTGGAGGGACTCACAAAGGATGCTCTAACTCTTCGATCGATATTAATAGCGGGACCTTTCAATTAGAATCAGATGAAAACAAGAATGACAACTGTATCTAAACCGAATACTTCATAATTTCTCAATAGTGGTGGAGTAACACGACATGCACTAAACTAAGGGCACGGGAGGGCTATACTACAATAGATCAAATTACTGGTCGCAGTGGTTTTATGTTCCGAACAAAGGCAATATATTATTACTAGCAATGAAGGTTAGAGTGCCATTGTGCCGTGTTTATCCAACTTTGTTCATCGTAGATTTAATTTAAAACTCGATTCCTCAAGACCAAAGCAAATGCCCAAATCGTAAACTCGTAAATCCATAGTGATCTTCATGAGAGATTTTCAGTTTTCCTCTTCCTCAAAACGTGCTTTCTTAGTGGTCTTTCTATCAAAAATTGCTAAAAACAATCATCACGCGTATTGGATCGCCGGCTATGCTTGGAAGCAACCGTCACCCTTGCCTTCGTAATGTTATTCTACCCATAACCAATCAGATGCTAATTTGCATATTGCGCGTCTTTTTCCCCTTGCCTGTCTCGGGCTTTCGCGATTAGCTTAAATTTTAGAATGCAGAGGCCAATTTTGCTCAGATAGCGTTCATGCCTGAGAATTTCGTGCGATGACTATACAGACATACCTACATGGTGATGCGTCTAGAATAGCTTATGACGGCAACATCATCTTTGCTTCCTGTATTGACCCAGATTGTGTTTCCATTTTTCTCTATAGTAGAACAGATCCGTATACCGAGAGCCTTTCTTATCATCATCATGGTCAGCAGTGCAAATTATTACTCCTCAGTCCCTACTCACTCATCGCTTACTCTCGGTTTCACCGTTCACACTGTTTTGTTATACCTACAAACAGCGCAGATATTATTTACAAACAAAGATGGTAAACTCGGCCGTCGGTTCACACTGATGTCCGATAATAGCAGACCGAGCCGACCGACGATTACTCATTCTTTCTCGTTCGCTTGTTGGGAGTGATAAGACCGGCTGAATGTTCCGATAATATGTAGGTATGTATGTACCTACAGTAAACATTGCTTTGGAAATCAAAGTAGGATTATCGGTTCATTATTTTTCGTTAAGCTACGAATATCAAATTTCGTCAACGCATATTTTGAAACAAGTTTTATGTGCCATCAAAATTGTATTTTTGATTTTTCAAAATTCATGCAGGGTATATTCTTTAAGATCTAAAATCCTCAAACCTAACCGGTTTAAGCATTCTAAAAATTATCAAATTTTCTTGGAATTCTAGGTTCTCACTCGCTCTCATCTTGAAAACCATTTAATGCCCATTACATTTGTCACCCTTAAGCTGGGTTTAGACAGGGCAAGTCATTTGATCAAGTCAGTTGAATTCAACTGACTTGAACACGAATTGAACGTGTAAACCATGTCATTCAACTGACTTGATCAACTCACTTAAATTGAAAAAAGTTGAACCAGGCTCAACTTTTCAAGCCAATTGAATTCAACTGAGTTGATCATTTGACTTGCCTAGTCTAAACCCAGCTTTAAGTTTTCAGTTTGCTCTCACTGATAGCAGAAATAGTTTCCAATGTTTGCTCTCAATTGTGATATTTTAACCGTTAAAACGACCAAAACGACAGCAACCTGAGTAATCATTATCAGCGAAATCACAACATCAAATTTAGATTTCAATTTGATCTCAGACTTTGCTCGGGTAATGTATGTATATACATGCTAACGGCCAGTCCTTAAGTCAGTCAGTCAGACAGCCAAATGAAAGCGCAAAATCGGAAAAGGTTATCACGTTTGCGCGATGTGAACTCCAAACAAAGCCGTCCCTATAATAGCGATAATTTGTGGTTGTATATCGCCACTTGTACCACGTCGCGTTGAGAAAATGTTGATTTTGTAATTCTGCTCCACAAATGATTGAACTGACCGAGTTCGAGTTTTTTTTTTACACTGAACTGCTGGGACGTAAAATGGAATTGCCAACTGACATTGTTTTTGCTGAGCTATGCAAGGAAATTGTTTAAGTTTTCTTTTCTGTGGTGATAGTCCTGGTTACTATTGATTACTCACTAGATATGATTGGTCTTAGGGTTTTAAAATCCGACCAGTATTTGAACTGGAATCCATATGGTTCTTGGAGATGGCCAAATGCGAAAGCATCAAATGACATGATCATTCAAATCTAGATGAATGTGTATCATACTTAATACTCAAGACCACCGTGGTCACATCAGGTACCTCGGGGAAGCGATAAGCATCTAACTTCAGTCATAACCCATCATGTGTTGCATCAAATCATGAACAGCTTTGTTCCAATATGTGTGGGTTAAATGCCAGCCGAGGCCGTTAGGATTTTATGAGGTGTAAAATATTTGGTCACGTCTTCTTTTGGATGTGAAGGAAAGCCCAGGGTCCCGGCTGATGTGTGAATGGGCTCGATATGCTAGGGTTAAGGTGTGGAGTCGCCTCCCTCGCATTGAAGATTGACACATACGGATGACAGCAGTATTTTTTTAAAGATAACACGTTGCAGTCTTTTGGGGGTTCATTTGTCGGGATCTTGACCAGAAGAGAGAGAACCAATGACGGTTAAATAGACATGGCGATCACGTTTGAGTAGGGACCTAGTAGATTAAAGAAACTTGTTTATGCATGACTGGTCTTAGGGGGGAGGTGTCTACTGAATTAAGCGGGGCTCTACAATTGTGCAAAAATATGCTATATAATTTATGGATGGTCCCCTGCATGTGTTTCTGAGTCGTCATTCAACTTCCGAAAAAGAAACCGACACCCTGAAAAACGCACCAAATTAAACTGCACCTCAACTCCATCACACCAGAAAAAAAGAAAACTATAGTTTTACTGGGTGATTATTATTACAACAAAAAAATTGCCTTCCAAATTCAGAATGATTCGACGGATGTGGGATAATCTCTTTAGAACTACAGAACTTCACAAATTGGATGCATATATCTCAACCAACAACAGAAAAGGGCTCATCAGCCTCTGCAAAAAGACCATCAACAATGGCTCAAAAGTGCACAGAAAGTCAAATTATTTCATCTTTATAACTTTCTCTAGCTAACAAATTTCGGACTAAGGCTAATGTTGACATTAGTAAAATATTTTCCTCCCAACGTTGTAATCGTTAATTTCGCGTATGAAGTACCAAAAATCTGATAAAGAATTTTGAATTGGACTTGTAACTACTGATATGATACCGTGACTTGCCATAATTCCGCGTAGTACCTAAGAGCACCCGCACCAATGCGTTGCTAAAACTATTGTAGCAACCTCCACCATAACGCAGTAACCGCCCCGGGGTTTGCTATTCAAGTGCGGAAAATAACAATCTGATCTCGG